AGTACCTGCCGTATCGAGGATAATATCGTCAAGACAACATACAAATGAGAGAGTAGAGCGAAAATGAACACGACTCCTCGTTGTGACTCCCTTGCCCAAACGCTGCACGTAAGCTTCTCCGGCTGCTGGCTCGGGCAATACTGCTGGCGACGCCTACCCGGTTCGAAGTGGGCCAGAAACAAACGGCAAACAACACAACACCGCCAACAAGCTACGGGCGAAATCTTGGATAAAGAAGAAACTCTGTGCCAGACGTCCACGACGTGACACACCAAAACACGCTCTAAAGAAAGCGGATGCAAGAAGAGCATGAGCCAGTGTAATACTCTCAACCGCAAGCGTCAACACCTACCCCTGGGTTGTGTGCAGACGGCCGTACGTTCTTCGTCCGCCACCAAAAAGAAACACGCACCTCTCTCTCTCTTCATCCCCCAACGCGGAAAACGAAACAACAGGACAGCGTGACCCAAGAGTTTTGCGTGTCCCTTCTCGACCCAACACTCACAGCTGCCCGACTTGCACCCTCAGCTTGCTGATGGCGAACTTGCTCATGTCCACGGCGGCCAAGAACATCGAGACCCCTCCCAGGGCCGCCCACTCCAGGCGACTGCTGCGCCGCCAGAGCGGAACCGCGAGAACGCACATCGAAGCCAAGAACAGCCTGCGGGGAGATAAAAAAAAACATAGTTCATACACACGTTACGGCACGCGTGTGGGTCACGGGTGGATCCTCCGTTAATTCTCCTTGCTGCGGCATCGTATGTACAAGAATATTCGACTGAGGTAATAACGGGGTAGTCTTGTTGAACGCACGTAATCTACTTACAAATATCGGGTGGAGATGCGGAATCGAATCGGCGATCACAAGTGCGGAAGCATCATGCAACACAAAGAACAACGCCAGCTTTCAGCACGCGAAAGTAAAAAACCACCGCGGGCGAGATTACCCTTGGGCTCCCCCACCACCACCACCATCATCCCGAACGCGTACGTGCCTGATGAGGGTTGGCCGTTTCTTGAGCGTGGCCATGTCGACGTGGAAGTGGGCGTGGCTATGGCTGTGGCCCATCCCGCCGCCGTGCGAGTGCCCCCCGTGGGAAGATGAAAACGTGTCTCCAACGGCGAGAGAAGAGGCTCTCCCCGCGCCGCCTGCCGCGCTGTGGTTGATGTTGAGCAGCCCGTCTTGGGCAGGTCCGTGGTTGTGGTCGTCGTGCCCGTGGCCCCCGTGGAAGAGAGGCCCTCCGCCGCGCCGCCGGCGCCGGAGCCGCCGGAAATAGCGGCCGCCTTCGTCTCCGCCGTCTGCCTCTTCGTCTCGCTGCCGGAGCCCCGCGCCTCGGCTGTGCCCGTGTTCCCCCGCCGCCGCTGCTGTCGCCGACGCCGCCCGCGAGATATCGCGATGGAGGCCCATCGTCGTCTGTTTTCGGCGGGGGGGGGGGAGACAGCACGGGCACCCCCGGGGTGTTGTTTGTTGGCATCAGTAGGCCTGTGCTCCGTAGGTGATCACCGAAAATCACCGAATTTTGAAAAGGTCACCGAAAAAAGTGAGGATTTTGAATCACCGAAAAAAAAGTGGCCGATCACCGAAAACGGGCGGTGCCTCACTGATTGTTGCCGGCGCCCACCGATTTTCACCGTTTTTTTTTAGGGGGCTCCGTGTATACAGGCTATACCCCCTAAATCCCATCAGATACCCCCCCTCAAGCGCAGCAGCACAGCAGCAGAGCACACAGCACACAGCACACAGCGCACGCAACCCAAGCACCGCGCTGCAGACACCACCCACGGTAAACGGTACGGACACACTTGTGGTATAGATGAGCGGTCTCCTCGGAATAGGGCTGTACTCCAGCAGTAGTGATGGCGAAGATTCCGAATGTGAGCTTCTCTCCTCCTCGACAGCCACTTCCCCTGCTCCCAAGCGCCGTCGGCCTTCTTCTGCTGTCGGCGGCAGTGCCAATGCCCAACCCCTTGCCGTTGCTGGAGCAACTGCTGAAGATTGTGAGGTTATCTCCCGCTCGACACCCGCGTCCCGTGCTCCCGAGCGCCGTCTCCGCCTGCCGTCTGCTGTTGGTGACAGTCCCGCCGCTGGAGCGGCGGCGGCGGCGGCTCCGGCGGCGGCGGCGGCTCCAGCGGCGGCGGTGGCTCCAGCGGCGGCTGCTACTGCTGGTGTCCCACGATCTTCAGCGGCTGTTTGGGTTGCTAGCTAATCATCGTTGTCAGAACC